CGGCAATTGCTGCAAACAAAGCTTTTACTGTCATCATTCACGCTGTGTGTCGCTCACTCTTTGGCTATCTCCGCCTCTGTCGCACGCTCAGACTCCAGCTCGAGGCGAATTGCACGTGAACTTCGCTTACTTCTGTTTTGCTTTTGTTTCGCTTCGCTCGCAAATGCAAGTGCGAAAGCAAAGCAACTGAAGCTGAACCGCTCGCATGTGAGCTTCAACTCACTTTACTTTTTCGCTCTCTCGCTCTCCCTCGAATTCGCTCGCCTTCTCTCAACCTTTGCCGATGTCACGTGCTCGCACGAGCACATTCTACAGTCGAGAGCAGTCATTGAACGGCTGTTGGCAGCGGGGCAGACAACGCAGCTGCGTGTGCAGCTCGTGTGATAAGAGATTATGGCTAAGCCTTTTGAATGACATCTTTTACAATATTTACAGTTAACTGTAAACACATTTACATAGTAAATTCGCATATTGACGACCAACGCGACCAGCACGCTTCAATTAAAGGCCATGAACCAGGTAGAGCATTCCATACACGTACGTACAGCTAGCTCCTTCGATATTTACAATTATACACGACTAGCACGATAAGCCTTGAGGTCAATAAAAGCCACAGCAGACTGACCGTAGATAGCCATTGCCTCGAATCGTGCACCTATTTAAAGTTAATATAAAACGGATTTAGCACCTTATGGTGCTATAAAAACGCGAAATTGCCAAATAGTAGCAGAACCGTTAAAAATTGAACTGCCGATTGGAAGTTAATGAATGGGCAAGAATAGAGTCACATGATTTTTTATTGGACAACTAAAACAACAAATATTAAGCTACCACTTCTACTTCCAGGCAAAAGCTTTTTGCCAGGCAAAAGCAACAAAAGCTATCGGCGGAGCAGTTCCACAATCTCAAGAACTGCTATACAGAGGATGGGAAATATGGCTAAATATGTACTTATTTTGTTTGTTTAACACTTAACTAAATCAATGTGCGCTTTATCGCTGGGGATAATCGCAGGAAAGAAATATTTATTGAGTCTCGTATTTTATAGAAGTATGGTCGGCCCTTGTTATGTGAAATGGTATTTATTATGATTGATAATTTAAAAGTAGTATTTACATAAAAAATACATTGCTGAACAAAATGTACAGGATATGACGTGGACATCTCAACCACAAAGCAAAAAAGCATAGGAATATTTAAATTTTATGTGTCTTCTTAGTAGTCGATAGGAAAACAGCTTTAAATTTAATTGACTCTATGATTGCAATATAAGCTACAACAAGTTCTGATAATCTCTTGGACCTGGAAAAATTCGGAGATATCCCCTTAAAGTAGCATACCTAACGGTACGCAGTTAGTTAAGTTGTTTTCGCGTTTGTCGCTTCTAATGAGGCCCGATGAAAACAGCTTTATAATATTTGTGTCAAATACGATAAGTTTAATTGGACACAAGTCGGGGCTAGGGGCTGGCTCCCTCTTGATGACGGCATTGAATTAAAATGAAATCAAGTTATATGGCAACTTGTAATCATCTATTGGGCCTATGATTACGCACGTAGAGCTGCGGCGCACTCTTAGATGCTTATAGATATTTTATTTTTGAATAGTCGTAATGACGATTTAATCATCCAATGCGGCCCGTCGCTTGACGCAATTAATTTCGTAGGTGGTTGGGCGTCTGCTGCCTATTGATAAAATAAACATGCTTTTATTGTATACACGAAGTTAAGTGAGCATATTGGCTTTGTGCAATGTACTTAAGTTAATTAAATCTGAATATTATTGAGTTTCTCTATAGATATATTAGATTATCATACTCACTAGAGGCGGAAATAAGCTGCTGAGATCCTCGTCAGATCAAGGAAATTATTGGTAAATTGGATTAAATTACATTATAGCAAATTTGATAGATATTCTATAGTTATTATAATTTGTTTTTGGAGACTTGAGATCTGTCTATCTTTTTATACAGTTAACTATTTTTCGACCGTTAATCTGAATTGTA